AAAACATATTTTTATGTGGAGTTTATTTGCATTGGCGTCCTCTAGCAATGAAACAAATGTTTTGTTTATTTGTAAAAAAGAAAATAATAATAATAATTTAAAGATATATTTTTTCTTTGAAGATAAAGAACTTTTTTGTCTCTCTGTGGATACATACGAATTAAATTATATTACTATTACTATTGGATATTACTATTGCAATAAATACCAACAAACATTCTGATATAGCTTCAAGTCCAAATCTTAAAAATAAATATTAGTCTTTAAAGCACCACATCACATTTTAGCTGGTCTGTAAAAAGTGCATTAGTTTTATTATATTTGCTGGGAAAAGGAATAATGTTAAAAGGAGTAAGTTCCAAGTCAGTGCCTGAAGATTGGGAGGGATTCTGCTATTCTGAAGTGTATATTGGGTGTGAGAATAGTGCTTAGTCTTGTTGTCATGTTGAGGGTGTAACGGGTCATGTGTCATGGCTGGTCAGTATCATAATTCTACACTTAAATGTTGGAGATGATTTGTTTGTATTTTAGTTTAAATGCATGTGGAATGGAATGTTTTTTTATTCATTCAATCATTCATTCATTTTCTTTTCGGCTTAGTCCCTTTATTAATCAAGGATCACCACAGCGGAATGAACCGCCAACTTGTCCCGCATATGTTTTATGCAGTGGATGCCCTTCTAGCTGAAACCCAACCCTGGGAAACACCCATACACTCTTGCATTCACACACATTCACTTAAGCATATTCAATTTACTTGTACCACATGTCTATTCATAATGTTTTTTGTTTTTTGTTTTTGTTTTTTTGAGTGTAATTTTTTTTTTTTTTTTATAAATCTGGTAGATTGGCTTGTTTATTTCATTCATTAATAAATAATTAAAACCACTAGTAGGTGAGGGATAGTGCCTCTCTTTATGAGTGATTCATTCAGAATATTCATTAACAGCTGAACTGAACTGATACTTTTAGAAATGAAGCAGGTGCCTTTCTTAAAGAATGGATCACTGAATCACTGACTCTTCACTTTTTCATAACAGATTAATTCAAGAAAGAAACAACATGTTGTGTTACCTCAGGTGCACAAATGATCTGTGTTGACCATGCTGGGAACTATTTTTATTGGCAAAACATTAAAAAGAGATAATGGGTAAATGTACCTCACGCAATACTAACTTTTTGCTTGTTAAACCTCTGTGTAAAACAAATGCCACATTTGAGAGGACACTAACACTGAAATTTGGAAAAACTACATACTTATGTGATATTGTTTAATTATCATTATTTTTTTATTTTTTAAAAAGAATTTTTAAGGGGTTTTCACTTTATTGGATAGGAAAGTAACTGACCGGAAAGCATAGGGAGCAGAGACAGAGGGGAAGAATCATCGGACATAGGACCATGAGGTGGAATCGAACTCGGGTCACCATGAGCATCGGATTGCATGTGTCGACGCACTAACCACTACACCACTGGTGCTGACATTATTTAATTATTAGTTTTTATTTTTGATTTAATTATTCTATCTCAACTATTTTTATTGGCTTCGTCATGGAGGAACATTTAGACTCAACTTTTTTTTTTTTCACAAAGTGTTTGACATAATAGATAATGGCTGTTTCTCAATTCCAAGAATGCAGAAAACAGACTTGTGTTCTCATGGAGACCGTTCTTGACAGGTTACCTTGGAAGAATGAACTCAAGAGACTGTGAAAACACAGAACGCCTTCTGTGAGAAATTAGATGCAGCATTCTTCTTGATGGTCACATGACCTTCACGTGTTTTAATCGGAAAATTATTTAACTGCATTCATGCAACGATTTATTGTTTTCCCCTTTTCAATATATATAACATGCACTAACACCTTACAGATATACTTTGCACAATACAAATAAAACAGATTTAATAGGAATTTCAGCAAATAAACACCCTTAATGTGTTAATGCCTTTATTAAGATTTTCATGTTAAGCTTTACTTTCACCGTGTCATTTAGTGAAACTCCTGAGATAAATAAGTTATCTTTCCGAACTTAAATAATAAATGGGTCTAAAATGCTGCACCTCCCACCTCCTTTATTCAGAATCAGCCTGCAATGTCTTCTGGGACTTCTCGAGTGAGTTTTGTGTTCAAGTCTGCATCGATGCATCCTTGATACCATAAAGACATCCGGAAATTTTGTACGCGTCCTCTGTTATTGCGGTCTTGAGTTTTTGAACTGATCTTTGGAGGTTAATGATGATGTTACACGAAAACACGAGGACACAAGAAGAATGCATATTGAGAAACAGCCAATGTTAGCTGCTTGCGCAATGTTACAACAACAATTACAACATTTAAAGATGATAAATATGACACACACCTGTATGTTAACTTATATTTTGAATAAATTCGTGTTGAATGCTGAAATGTACTTTTTGGGCATATTTGGCGTTTTTAACAGCTTAGTTTTAACAGTAAAGTTTTTATACATACAAGCAGTTTGCTTGAAAGACTTCATTTTGATTTCTGGAAGACTGACGCAGCATTTCGTTCAGGATGGTTCTGAGAAAAAAAAATCCATCATGGAGTTGCACTTCAAACCTCTCCCTTTAAGGGAATGTGCGCTGAAGCCTTTTTCCATTGGGGGGTCTGTAAATTGGAAATGAGCAAACGTTCTCCCACAGACCCCCACCCCCTGCCTCGCAACAGCTGTAAGATATTAGGCCTTATTTTCTCTTCCATTGAGAGACAGGAGGAACGGGCTCTTTGCCTCGCTGTGATCAGACTCAAGAGGACAATGGGGATCCATTAAATGAACGATCTGGAAAGATCTGCACCGTGCAAAAACAAGTGCAGAGCTCTGGGTTAGAAATTTCATGCTATCTTTCCAAAATATCTCGGAAACTGCTGGCTGAAGTGCAGAACTCGAGCAGTTTTTCCACTTTTGTACCCTGTGGTCTCTTATAATGAGTTGGATAATTTAGACATGATTGTATTAAAGTGATAAGTCACCTGAAAATGGGAATTCTGCAATCATTTAATTTAGAATCGACATAATTTATAGTTTAACTTTTCTTTTAATTTTTATTTGCGTTGCGCTGTGACCTATGTGAGCAGTTTGTTTGTGGTGTGGTTTTGCTTTGAAGCCAAATAGTGATATAACGAGGCTCCATTAATGCTCTTCAGATGCTTTTTTTTTTCCACAATAGGATCAAATAGCTCTGATCTCCAGCCACTATTAGCGTATAATGCCCAGAATAATTAGCCTAGCTTGTTGCCCTCTCATTACTGGCAATCTGTTTCTTTGAACCGCAGGAGTCTGAGATCATGCTTTCACCCTTCAGTTGGAGTTCTTCAATAAAAATGAAGTGATAAAGCAAGTTGAAGGTTTTCCTGCTGTGCAGATGGGCAGTCTGGTATTGTTATGTTGATCCCGTCTCGAACTCATCCAGGACTTTGCTGCCTTTTAAGGCTCTGTTTTTTAGCAGTATATACACAGTAGAGAACTGCAGACTCACAATGTGAACTCTTGAAGTCTCACGCACGGCTGATGACAAGCTCTGCTGATACGCCTGCTCTTCAGGACTTTACTGCACCAGCGACACATGTGAAGCCCATCCCTGTCATTAGAGATAGTTTGACAGTCAGCGTCTGGCTGGATCTGCCAAAAGGCTGTTTCTGATCAACTAGCCTTGGGAAAGATGTGATCTGTGCTTTCAGCCTTTAACCTAGCAGTGCAAGTGCTCTTTAGCTGTTAGTTTAGTGCCTTCTGCCACCTGGTGGAAGTGAAAAGACATTGACGTTGTGTTCTTTTGAACAGCATAAAACATATAAATTGAATATATTGTCAAAAATGTACTTAATACAAGCATTTGTTTGTATTAGATGTATATTTACGGTATTATGTATGCATATTATGTATATGTACAGTGTTCAGCAACAAGATTGAGAATATGTTTGGAAAAATACGTACTTTTGCTATAAATGTGTTCATATATATTGCAAAAAGCGAGTAGTTTAGTAAGTGAACATTGTAACGTGAAACTGTTAACTTAACATGAAAATGAAATTAAGGCAACTGGGCGACTAAATTTTTAAGTTAAGTCAAGTAATCCCTTATAAATGCAGCATGTTTATCACTTTTTTTAAAAAGTAATCTAATATAATATTCAGCCAACCCTTTGAGATAATTGTTTTCTAAAACAGAATTTTTATACAATGTTTAACAAGAAATATTTTTCCCAGTCCCTGCCTAATGTTGTAGTCAGTTTGCACTATACATATACAAATCACTATTATAAATACGTTTGAAAACATTACATCAAAATATCAACATAACAGCATTATTTTCTTTTTTCATGTTTGATACATGCTTATTGATATTTTATGCAATGTTTCACAATAAACATGTAATAATGTGTTTATGTAAGTTCACATTTACACATTCAGTAAAAGATTAGAAATCAAACGCAAACAGTCCTGTTTGAAAATCCCCAAATTATTGCAGAATATGATAAAATAAATATAAACATGTAACAAAAAGCATATTATTGTTTGTTGCGTGTATATTGATTTATTGAAAATGTTTATTGAACATTATTAACATATTGATAAGCATTTATACATTTTCAACAAATGGTTACTTATTCGTGGAAGGTTATTTTGATCTTTTAAACATTTACACATTTTTTAACATGAGTAAAATGTGTATAACATTTCCCTGTTGTAATATAATTTCATGTGTGAATGCTCTGTTATTTATTTTTAAGAGTCTTCTTGATCCATCATAACACAGTTACTAGCTTTAATTGTGTTGTTTTTTTTTTTTGGCAAGACTGATTTGTTTTAAAAACTAAACTACTCCACTGACTCTGCTTGTCAAATGGTCAGGGATTTTAGTCTTTTATTTCTAGTCTTCTTTTGTTTTGATTTTCAGGATGGTTACTCATCCAGTCATTTTTATTTTTTTTTGTAATTTTAAACTAACCTGTAACCCTTGTTCTCTGTGTCGCTGCTCAGACTAAGGGGTAGATGCATCATCAGGAGGGAGCACAGTATGAAGAAAGCAGGCAGGCCAGTGGGGAATAAGGCAGCAAGTGGAGGAGGTAAAGGTGACTCAGTGACGGCCGGAAACTGTGCTGGCAAAAACACTGTTAAGAGCCCTACATCAGCTTCTCTCTCCAAGGTAACATCACACTTTTACTCACTTAAACTAGCCTCTGAGTCACTCTGTTATTGATTTTTTTGTGTGAATGGCTGGTTTTCGATCTACAGGTGAAAAGCAATGATGATCTTCTAGCTGCTATGGCTGGTAGCAGTGCAGGCACAAACAACAGTGTTGCCAAGGGCAAGAAGTCAACGTCTACTCACTCAACATCTTGTGGAACAAACACTAATAACCCTGACACCAAGACCAAAACCACCTCAGGTATTTAAACCTTTTAACAAACAATCGATAACCAAATACTAGAGTATTCACACATTTTAATCTACATTTAAATGTATTTAATATGTACGTCATAATATTCTTCTGTGTTTTTATTAATTAAAAGTAACACTTCTTGAAGAAGTGTTCATGGAAGTGTCACAACACCTTTATAATCATGACGTGACACATGACATGTCATTAATACAAAGAACCATTAATGCATGTTTATGACCACAGTCATTAATTGTCATTTGTTGTTTCATGAAAATTTCTCTGTCATTACATTGTCAAATAATTTTATAACAGTGTCATTAATATTAAAGGATATTTAATTTAATGATGACCATAACTCAATTTGTACCACTGTAGTTTAGGTCAAGGAAAATATTAATCTCTCTGCAATAATAATAAAATGAAGGATACAATTATAATGACCTCATGACAATCATGTTTATGACAGATTTATAACAAGGTAGGTTATCTTGATCATGTATTTAGAAAGGTTTCACAACAATCTTATGAACACCTTCTCCAAGTAAAGTGTTACACGATAGGACAGAACTTATTTTTCATAAAAAGCAGCATGTATTACAGTGAAAAAACAATACAAAAAATCTGTAAATCTCAGTTTTAATTTCTTTACCATTATTTTTCAGTAAAATCAAGGAGGTGTCTTGTAGGGATTTACTGATTCTAAAGCAAGCCCCTTTACATACAGCAAAAATTCTGGCCAAATATTATGTGACCCTTGATGGCAAAATGGACTCACTACAAGTGTAATTTGACAGTTGTGCACTGGTATTTGTCATTATGTCTTCCCAAGGTCCTTCTGGCAAACGGACAACATCCATGACCTCCAAGGAGTCGAATTCCTCTCGAGAGCGTTTAAGAAACTCTAGAAACTCCAGCAGTAAAAAGCAGTCGTCCACTGGTGCTTCAGATAGAGCTCAGCCCAAGCATTCCCGTGCACTGGCCCAGACCTCGGACTCGGAGAGCCGCATGAGCAAATCAAAGTCTGACGGACAGTTAAGCGATAAAGTGGCCCTGGAGGCCAAAGTGAAAAATCTGTTAGGTCTGGCCAAAAGCAAAGACGTGGAAATCTTGCAGCTCAGGGGTGAGCTGAGGGACATGAGGGTTCAGCTGGGACTGCCTGAGGTTAGAAATAACTACCATATTCCTACATGATCATTTTTAAAAGTTTTATGTTATATCATAATGAACAAAACAGGAAATGTAAAATAATGTTTAATTGCAATATGAATATGCAATGTAGATAAAATATATGAATAGAAGAATATGCAAATGCAGATAATTTTTGAGTTACAGACATGTAGCAACCAAGAAAACGCTGTAAACTAGTCAATGTATTATCTGCTGACTTTTTATTTTGGTACCCAATCTTTATCATCCCATTACATTAAATTCAGACTGCAGTCTCACAACGAAGGTAAAATGTTTATTTTATAATGTCCTGTTGCATTGTAGACTATTCAATGCAGTAGCAATATAGAAAAATAATTTATCCCTTTACGCAATTCTACAAAATAAATATACTAAAATATATTAAAAAAAATAAAAAAAATCATAAGTCACAGAGAAAAAAATAAATTGAGAAATCCAATTCATTCTTTGTTCCATTCCCCACCTGTTTCCACCTCAGTTTAAAAATAATAGGCAATTGTGAAAACGATTTTTCGCAACGAGATATAAAATTACAGTTATTAGATGTATAGCCAATAGCCCTACTGTTATTTATGAGATAAGTATCGAATCAAATTGCAATATATACATATGGAGTCATAAGATATAGTCACAATTTGAGATTAAAAGTAGGGCTGGGCCATTTGGCCTAAAATCAAAATCTCGATTAACTGACCAATTTAACCTGATTACGATTAATGAACAATAATTTTTTTAAATAATTAAATTAACAATTATTATTTAAGACTCGAAAATGAGTCCATTGTCCTGCTTGTCCAGAGATCAGATGCAGCTCCAAAGTGCCCGCAGAAGTAGAAATCAGCCTTAGCCTTTAACAGAGCAGGGTCACGTGACATGAAAAATTTGATCGTTTATAGGTTCTCATTGTCGATTTCAATTACTTTTCAATAATTACCCAGCACTAATTTAAAGTCATACCTTTTAGTTACTCTGAGGTGGAAATAGGCTTTCATAGTGACCTGGATAACACACATCTTTAGGGTTTTATCAAATATATATAATCTTTTTTGGGAAAATTAGGATGTAGATCGGAGTGCCTAATCCTGTTCTTAGAGATCTACCTACCTGCAGTTCAGCTCCAACCCTGATCAAACACAACTAAACCAAATAAGTAAGATCTTAAGGATCAGTTGGCAATTAAAGACAGGTGAGTTAGGTCAACGTTGCAGCTGAACTCCGATCTCTGATGTAGATAGTTAGATTTGGTCATTTAAGTACATGTGTGTAGTGTTGTTGCATCTGTATTGTGAAAGAACTTATTGTAAAGACTTTAGACTCCCTAAAATCTGATGATATTTGTAGGAAGATGAGGAGGAAGAGAGGCCACCTGAGAGAGAGGCGGCTGCAGTGATCACAGCTGCGGATGTGGAGTCAACATTACTGCTCTTGCAGGAGCAGAATCAGGCCATCCGTGGAGAGCTTAACCTGCTCAAAAATGAAAACCGCATGCTGAAGGACCGCCTCAATGCTCTGGGCTTTTCCCTAGAGCAGAGACTGGACGGGGCTGATAAGACCTTTGGCTTTCCCTCCACCAGTCCTGAACTCTCCTCTGGAGGCGCTGGAGCTCATGGAGACTGCGCCACGGTGGCCTCCTCCGTTGAGGGATCGGCACCAGGCTCTATGGAGGACCTCCTGACAGGAGGCCAGCGAAGTGGCTCAACGGACAACTTAGACAGCGAGTCCAGTGAGGTCTACCAAGCAGTGACCTCCAGTGATGATGCCTTGGATGCTCCTTCAGGCTGCGGTTCTTCATCATCCTCTGAGTCTGAAGGTGGCCCTCCGGCCTGCCGCAGTTCCTCTCGTAAAGGAAGCAGTGGCAACACCAGTGAGGTGTCCGTGGCGTGCCTGACAGAGCGCATTCATCAGATGGAGGAGAACCAACACAGCACATCAGAAGAGCTCCAAGCCACTCTACAGGAACTGGCTGACTTACAGCAGATCACACAGGAGCTAAACGGCGAAAATGAACGCCTGGGAGAAGAAAAGGTCCTGCTTATGGACTCGCTGTGTCAACAGAGTGACAAACTAGAGCACTGTGGTCGTCAAATAGAGTACTTTCGCTCACTCCTGGATGAGCATGGTGTTGCCTACTCGGTAGATGAAGACATCAAGAGTGGCCGATACATGGAGCTGGAGCAGCGCTACGTGGAGCTTGCGGAAAACGCCCGCTTTGAGCGCGAGCAGCTGCTAGGCGTGCAGCAGCATCTGAGTAACACTCTAAAGATGGCCGAGCAGGACAACGCTGAGGCTCAAAATGTGATCGCAGCACTGAAGGAGCGCAACCATCACATGGAGCGACTTCTGGACGTGGAAAGGCAAGAGCGAGCCAGCATGGCGGCAGTGCTGGAGGAGTGTAAAGCTGCGGTCAACAACGACCAGGCTGAGCTGAGTCGCTGTCGAGTCTTACTCGAGCAGGAGAGGCAAAAGGTTGCAGAACTCTATTCTATCCACAATGCTGGAGATAAGAGTGACATCCACCAGCTCCTGGAGGGGGTGAGGCTGGACAAAGAGGAAGCTGAAGCCAAAGCCTCCAAACTACAGGATGACCTGGGCCATGCTCGTTCTGAGGTTGCATGTCTGCAGGACACACTCAACAAGGTAAGCACAAGCACTTGTTCATTTGATTCGAGATGCATTAAGAGCTTGAGGTAATATTTAGTCGTTCTGTACTTTTGTGTTGGTCTAGCTGGATGCAGAATACAGGGACTTCCAGAGTGTAGTGCAAAAAGAGCTGGCTGAGCAAAAGAGGGCTATAGAGAAGCAACGGGAGGACCTGCAGGAGAAAGAGACTGAGATCGGAGATATGAAAGAGACCATCTTTGAGTTGGAGGATGAAGTGGAGCAGCACCGAGCCGTCAAACTTCATGACAACCTCATCATCAGCGACCTGGAGAGTGGGTTTGAGAGAGTTTGATTTGCACATTCAAATTATAGATATTCTAGAATAGGCATGGGAAACGTTAGCCTTGGAGGAACACTGCCCTTCATTCTTTATCAAACACACCTGCCTGGGATTTCAATGTATTTAATGTTTATGTGTACCCTTTATTATTATTTGACTAAATGAGCTAAACTCTGCAGCCATTCCTATTTTGTATCTTGCACAAATGTATGACACGACACAAGCCCCTTTCACACAGTGATACCAGTTAGTATTCAGAAATTTCTAAAATGACTAAATTCTGCTATTATTAAGCAGAAATGAGTTCCAAACGACCGCAATTGTTTTTGTAAACCTAATAGGGATCTAGCTTGATGGTTCCACTTTTATTTAAAGCTTTAGCATTTATGCAGCTTATCCCAGAGACATTCAAAGGCAGAAGCACTAACCACGGCTAAATGCTTACACATTTGACAACATTATAAATTCTGTGGATGGATAAGTATTGTGAACAACTTCGATGAAAACATATGGAGGAACACTTTCACATGTCGAGATGTGCTTGATATGTGTGTGTGCTGGCACTCCCCGGAGCACTCCTGCACTTCACATGCACACGTGTCAAGCAGAGCTTGAAGGTAAACAAACAATGGTTTATTATAAGCATTTAATCGATAATTTTGAGTATATATATATATATATATATATATATATATATATATATATATATATATATATATATATGAATATATATATATATATATATATGAATATATATATATTCTGCGAGTAAACAAGAGCATTTGGCTTGAACCCAGCATAACAACACGTAACAATGAGATTCTGGTGAAAAGCAATTCAGCTGTCTGCACCAGATGTGAAATGGCAGAAACATTTAAATACTTGAGCCATTCAGAAGTGCAAAAGTGGCTTGCACTTCCATGGACAGGCTTATAATCTTATTAATAAATATTAAACATCATTAACATTTAAAGTATGAACTTGTTGTCTATTTGTGGTTTGAGTCACAGTTCTAATTTTCATGTTTTATTTTCAAGATCTGAGGTAAACTATCTACTGCCACTTTCAGTATGGCTATACATGTCACCTAAACCTGTGTTAAAATTCACACTGGTAACATTTAACACTGGATAAAGCACGTAATCATCACCCAAGATGATCATTATCATAGTAGTTTATGCTGATGGTCCAGATGCAATGAAGAAGTAGAAAATAGAAACTGTGTGTGTCGCTGCAGTGGAAGGCTTGGACAAAAACTCATTTCAACATAAGAAAAATAGCATTTTATCGCGTTACAGCATCATGTCATGTCTAGTTTTGACACTGTAATTTATACTTGGGTTTGGTATGCCCAGTTCTGTTCTGGGAAATTAAGTTTGGTGCAAAGTTCAGTTTAAACTCTGCACTATCACACCTGTTTGAAATGATCAAGTGTGTCTGAAGATGAACGATGTGTTCAAGTCATGTCAAACAGATAGTATTTATGAGTTGAAAGCACACGAACGCCACCACAAAGTTGTAATTATGAGTGGTAAACAAGTGACAACATACAATTTCAAGTTGCAGACTCAAAAATACAGCTTCTTAGGAGGACTTCAACACTTGACTGGAGTCTATTCTAATAAGTAATTGAGTTGATTCATGTGTATTTGATTAAAAAGAGTTCAAAAATGTGTAGAGTAAGGTGATAACTGTATTCCTAAATCACATTAAGCAGCTAAACTTATTTTTAATTTTAAAGTACATGTCTATTCTGGAGCAGGTAAATATAAAACGGGGGTTCCTAAACTTTTTTTTATGAAGAGTCAAAACCCAAACTTGATTGAGGCTAGTGGGCCAAAGCTAAATATAGTTGCCATGAGTAATTTCCTTTAATATTATTTATTTATTTAATAATATTTAAACAAACATTGCTTTATATGAACTGATACAGTATTTTTTATAATAAACGTATTACAGTAAAAACAAAAACAATCCCATTTATTTCAGAATTAAACTAATTTTTGCCTTGATTTGCTCACCGATGGCTTTTCCATAGTCTGTCCATTGAGCGCAGTATTTAAATTTGAAAAAATCAGATTCATTTACATTTAATTGAAACATTTGATTTCACTTAGCTTTTTTTGCGACATAGCAATAAAACAATACAATAAAGGTTACATCAAATAAGAAATGACGATGTCTGTGTTAAAAGCATTCGCCCCAACCCTCTCCATCATTCTCACTCTCCTCTCAGATGGGATGGTGGGCCAAATCAAAGGTTACAATTGGCCAACTTTGGCTTCTGGGCCCTGCTTTGGGGATCTCTGGTCTAAAATGATAAAATGATGAATTTATAGAGTGTAACAAAATGTATACTTATTATATAAACATATAAGTATAGTTTTTAGTTTATAGAAAACAGGAGTAATTTAGAAATGTAGAGGCACTGTCATCAGCATTTGCTTGCATTAGATAGGATGAATCTGAATATGTGCAAGGCACATTCTTTTATTGAACACTTGAAGAGGCTAATATTGGTGTATCTGCCTCGCATTACCACATGGTGGTGCCAGTCATGTAAGAACATTAAGGCTCAACTTTTGGCTTCTGCAGATAACAAACATTAGTGGCTTGATAATTTATATTATTACTTAGTAGTTAGCTTTATGCTTTGACATTTACAGTGAGATTCATCATACAGAATGCTTTTATTATATAATCAATGTTGCTACAGTGAAGTTTTTCCACATAAACCCTGTTTGTCCTCAGTTCACATGCTCAATCACTCACCCTCTTTCCGGTTTCCTGGCAGATTCGATGAAAAAGCTTCAGGATCAGAAGCATGACATGGAGAGAGAGATAAAGATCCTGCACCGCAGACTCCGGGTGAGTGAGGGCAGGGGCAGCAGTTCATACGGTCATTGGAGGACCTGGCATTCACAAATGGTCGTCCTTTTCAAAGGCTGTCCTCAACCTCTCAGTGTGA